GCTCTAACCAGCTAGTCTGCCAGTATTCCTGCTTCCAAACTGCCTCACAACAATTTCCCAACACACTTGGCCGCTTAGTGGACAGGCTGCCATGGAAGGCCCAAAGAACCGCACTGACCCCATGTGGATCTTTTATGTGGGAGAGACCATTGGAATAATCAGGGTATTTTCCGTCACCCCAGGGAAGGAAAGCTGAGACACCATTCCTGAATATTCACATTTAACAATCCTCATCTCATTCTAAGTGAGGAAGCCAAAATGTGATTCCTGTGGCCTTTGCCAGGAATATTAATGCAGACAAATGGGGTGTGACTGGTTCTGTTTTAGGAATGTGCAGCAAATGTGTCAATCACAGTGGACTTTGGCAGTTATTGTCAAGGAAGCAGCCCCACAATACTGACACTAAACTCATCTCGTCACACTGAATGGAGCTGCAGAAAGCACAACATGTAGTTGGGACACAGAAATGTAACTCCCCCAGGTAGAGGGACCCTCAGGACAGGATGCTGAAATATGCACATACCTACCAGGTTAGTCAAGTTACTGTAAATGTTTTCACCGGGGATGGTAGGATTTGCTTCCCCTTCATCTGTAAGTAGTAGTCATCTTTGTAAACGCACATAGAAGAGACTGGAAAATCCTGAGGGTGCTAAATGAGATATGCAATCTTCCTGTTCTGACTCCCAGGCTTAATTCTTAGGTTGGTGCAAAAGTAATCGTGGTTTTGAGCCATAAATTTTAAATCCTTATAACTAGGCTCAAACACATCTTTATTAATCAAAATAGGAACCATTACAATCAACACATTGTTGCCAAGGGGAAACAAGTTTTGTTTCTTCCTGCAGCTCAAAAATCCCTGCTTTGGGATCTGATGGACTCTGGTAAGCATTTTCTGCATCTTGTTCATTGCGCTCTCTCTGCAAAAAGTTGTCTGGATCAAGCGTCCTCAAACTACAGCCCGTGGGTTGCATGCAGCCCGCAAAGTACATTTATCTGGCCTGTGAGGTGTTTTTGCCATCACTGCCTGTCCTACTTAGCAGCTGACTCATCCTGGGGCCCGCAGTCTGGCCCTCCAATGGTCTGAGGGACAGTGAACTGGCCCCCTGTTTAAAAAGTTTGAGGACCCCTGGTCTGGATGCTTGAAGAGGTGGTAGCTGGTTGGTGAGAGGGAAGGTGAATATGGTGGATGAGGCAAAACTTCGTAACCTAATTCATTTAACTGTTGAAGTGTTATTTGTGTGTGACGTGCAGTTAGGCATTATCGTTGAGAATTGGGCCCATAGCTGGCACTGTGGGATTTTTCACAATCTCTGCTGATATTTGCTGACTGCTGAAATACCTCCCAGAATCAAATTATGAGGCTGAGGGGGACTCACAAAACAGCAACAGGTATATGGCAAATGTAAAGGTTGTCAGGCAGTTATGATTGGTGATACTATAGCATTAATTCTTTTGTTGACTCTTTCACCCCAGCCCTAGTCTGCCATCAAGTATTTAGTAAAGTGTGGTTTCCAACAAAAGCAGAGCTACTGAGCTCTTCTTTCAATTTGCTTCATTAAACATGCAAGTTGAAACCCCATGACCTGCGAATAGTGCAAACACCAGTGCCAAACTATTCAATGAGGTCATCAGAAATTTCTGAACTCACTATTTTGGGTTGCTATTACTCATTCATTCACTTACTTATCCACCATTCACTCACTTGTTGAATATTTTTATGTTCCAGGTACTTGATATACATGGATGAATAAAAAAGATATGCCCTTTCTTTGCAATGCCAACTATAATTATTAAAAGTAGATACATATGTATCGTGAATTTGCTACACATTTGGGTAAGTGTTATAAAGGACCTTAAAAAGATGTTACGACAGTGAATCTATTAGAAGAGGGTAAACCAGAAAGACTCTCTGAAGGGGTGGCTTTTTATTCAATGCCTAAGAAATGAGAAGGAGTCAAGCATGCAAAGGCAGGGGGAAGGGCACCCTAGACAGAGGGGATGGAAGGTGTGACAGCTTGGAGGTGAGAGTAAGCTCTGATGGGCTCAGGAGGAGGGTCAACGGAGATGATCAAAACTGGTGCTGGAGTGGCAGGCACAGGGAGCTCTGTAGGCTGGGGCAGTGAATACTACTGTAAGCACAGTGTGAACCTACTCGGGGATAAAGGTGGGGAAGACATTATGATTTATAGCAGATGATGTGTAAAAAACAAATTGAACTGGAGTAAAAGTGGAAAAAGAGGCACTGTGTATGGCGGAAATTGAAAAATCTTTCCCTGTAGCCATTCTCCCCTTATTATGAGAACCCTAATCATATGCTGGAAAGCAACAGCCCCAATGAAAGATTCTATATCCCACTTTCCTTGTACTAAGGCACACCACGTGTAATAATTCTGCATAATGAGACATACATAGAAGTCTGTTGGGGATCTTTGTGCTAGTTTTGCTTTCTTGGTATAATAATACAACTCCTTCCTGCTTCTTTCTTCCTTTCTTTTTTTTTTTTAAACTGTGATTTCATCCTGCAAAAAGATGATGTGATGGCAGGAACAGCTGCAGCCATTGACAATTATTCAGGAAAATTAGTACCATCAGAGAAACTTCAGCCCAGACAACCTTATATCACTGGACCATTGCCAACAACACTTATTTCTGGATTTTACCATGTGTAAAGAGGGAAAAAAACTCCACTTGTTTAATTAAAGATATAGTTTGGTGGAGTTTTCTATTACTCATAAGGGACATCATAACTGCCATACCAGGTAATCATAGTAGTTGGGACAGCCTGGATGAACTTGAGTGGTAGCAGCTAAAATGAAAGAAAGGGGACCAAATAGCGGTATATTTTTTAAGGTAGAAACTAGGGACCCCTTGTGGTCTAGATGTGGGGTTTGAAGGTGGGAGATGGTGGATGTAAAATGTACTCATAAGACACTGGCTTAAGAAATTATTAAAATAGGAAGAAAAAACCAGAAGAGGGACAAGTTTGAAGATTACATGCAAATTACATGCAATTTATGACATTTCCAAGGTATAGCACCTCAGTGGTGTCTATTACAGCTATCTCTACTCTTGTGGTTTCCGTGACACGGGATTTTCCTGGCCTCCTCACTCCCCCTTCATTTACTCCTACTCAGGGAGTGAGTGGGCCAGCCTGCCTGGAGAGAGCTCCTGTTCCAGTCCTCGCCTCCTGTGCCCAGGTGTCCAGGTGTGAGTTCCAGGGAACAAGGCCTGTGGTCTTCAGTGCTGCCTGAGACTGCACTCTCAGTCTCCAGGTCCAGCACCAGGAAGCCAGTTATTGTTGCCCATCTCAGCCTCATTTTCTACTTTGGCTGTTAGCAGTAATACAAAGCTAATATTTGGACTGCTACTCTTTTTCTGTCTCTCTCACTTGCTTCAAATGCAAACTGACTTACATCTACATGATGGCAGATAGGCATGCTATGTTCTTCCAACCATGTCACAGATGCCTCATTTTTAATAGGCACCTTTTTTAATGGTTATTGCCAAATAAACTAAATTCTTCCCTATTCTGAACTGTGGCTGCCCTCCTATCTTCACTGTTAGAGGACAGGGTTGAATCTTTCCTGTGAGGTGAGAATTTATTTAAGACTGATGCTAGGCATACAGCTTCTTGCCATAACTCTGTAGGGAACTGCATTATTAGAATTGTTTTCCTTGCTCTCTCTCCCTTTTCTCTACCCAATCCTCTGCTCAATTCACCCTTACCTTCCCCCATCCACCACTTCTCTTCTTTAAAACCTGGCATCAATATTAGTTTTGTTTATTCTATCCTTAATAACCCTACTTTAGAGTCACCAGACATTTGCATTTAGTTAGAAAGCCATTCCTCCAGGTGGTCTGAGGCAGAGTAGTTCTAGTTTTCCTATTCCTTTTTTTTTTAAACCACCAATTGGTTTCATGGGGGATATTTGGTCACTTATCAGAGTTTATATTTAGGGATTTGTTATATGCTATGCCTCTGTAAAAACTGTCTTTTGATAACAGAGTCATGTAAGATACCTTTACATTTAAGATTCTGATTTACATGTCCTTCTTTCATCCCATCCTAATGGACACATCATTCTTTGGGTTTACACTGATGACAGAGGTGACAAGCATTTTGGCCACTCTACCACTGAAAATAATACTTATCCACAGAGTGAATGTTTAACTCGCACATGCCTGCTAAGTGTGGGCCCTGCACTTGGTGTGGAATGGAGCACTGAATTGTTACAGCGTCATCCATCAGCTTTCACTAAGCAAGAGAACATCGGCAGCTGTGACGCATTATGCCACTGACTTTAACCACAGACACAGATAGAATGCCCATTAAAAAAATATATGTCCTTTTTTTTTTTTAAATAGAGCCCTGGGTAATTACCCTGATTACTGTTCTATGGGAAAGCCCCACTTATACCCCTTTATCAATTTAGAATTTATACACAAAAAATTACCAGCATTAAGTAGTTAAGGCAATTTGTTTTCTGAATGAAGAGAGGACAAAAGTCTGGACCTTTGAGTTGCCCATGTTGATAGCCAAAGCTCACCTCAAATAAAAGGTCCTGGGAAGGAATTTTTCTGACTGCAACTTCTTTCTAAACAGAGCCCAGAGAAAATGTGTTCAGGTCTGCTTTCTCCTCCAGCACTCGGAGGACAGAGGGGTCTGTGTGGACTTGCAGGGGTAGCTGTGTGTGTGGTAGGAGCTGTGGAGGGTCCGGCAGGCACTGGTGCACCTAGCTGCCCTGCCCTGGTGGCCAGGACTGATGTTCTGAGGAAAAGCTACAGAAATCTTGCTCACCTTGAGAAGTAAACTCTCAGGGCAGGGTCCGTGTTCCGCCAAGTTGCCACAGAACATGAAATAGGTTATGAAGTTTGCCATTCAATATGGAGTAAAATGGGAGATTATTGAACTACTTACCCCCAAATGAAAAAATTCAAATGAATAAAAAAGAAAAGGCAAGAATCACAACAAAAGAGATGGCCCCCAAAAGTTTACTTACATTGAGTGAGGATCCCGGTTAAGGCATTTTTAAAATTCTCCTTGGCTTCTTCCATCTCTTGCTCATGGGTAGCCTTCTCATTCATGAGCCGACGGACGTGGCTGTTGGCCGACTGCACCATGGAATAGAACTGGTTCGCAGAACGCCGATTCACTTCCCCTCGTTCAATCCAGGAGAGTAGCACTGTGATAGCCTCTGAAAACTTGCTATCATCTGGAAATGCAAAAGCAACAAATTCAAATCATGCCAATGTGAGAAAAATATAGTGTATTCTGGTTCCTCTGAAGAGACAGAGCAAGCTCCATTCTAAGGGATGCAGTTTCAGAATTTGACAAATTAGCTTTCCTGAGACTGACTGCTGATTACTTAGCTTCTCTTTTCTCACCTAACTCCATGAACCACCCAAGAGGTTCACACTGTAATCTGCCAACCCTGTGAGCTCACTTTTAGGAGATTTGTTCTGGCCATTCCTAAGTAATAAGCTACACCCTCATTTTTCCATTATTTTTTTGATTTTTCTTTCTTAAGATTAACTCAATAAAAACCTGTTATTAACCTATTAAGCCTCCACTTAATGTGTTCCTTGATCAAAAATGTTATATTATAATGACATCAGTTTTTGACATACAGGATCACTGAGTTAGTGTTAAAATGTGGAAGACATTAAGTTATTTTAAAATAGGTTATAACCTAAGATATTGTTCCCAAGGCAGGTAGTAGGAATTAGTCAATTTTTGTTCACTGTAGTTCGGAACGAATTTCATTTTAGAGCTAAGGTAACAATTTAATTTGGCTGAAATAAAGAATATTTCTTTGTTCCTTGTTTTCCACAAAAAAGGACATGTTCTCTGTGATGGTCAGGGTTTGCTTTAGATGACTTATCGACATCTTCCAAGGGTGAGTGCAGGTGGGCTGGGGGCATAGGAAGTGGGAAGCAATGTTCCACCTATAAATAAGCAATAAAGTCTATTTCATAGAAAACAAATAGACTTGCCTATTTGGAAATAGTTACTGGAACAAACCTGTGTTGTGTGGCTTGGAGGTGGTGATAAAGCAAGTTAGAAGGTGATTAAGTTAATTAGAGCTGGGAGTTATTTGTCAGTTATTACAACATTAATCGATCCGACTACTGCTGAAGGCTCATCACATATTTTCTAGGCAACTTTGAAGCAAGAAGCTTTTCATTTATATTTTTCTACTACTGGAAAATGTGATTTAGGAGAAAACATCCTGTATTTTTTATAACTGAACCATGTAGGCTCTGAATTCTAAAGATCAGCAGCAAAATTAGACCAGAAGATTCAGATACTTACCCTTTCAATGACATATTGTGAGTCCCTACCATGTGCCAGGTACTGTCTCCTCCAATGGGGAAATATCAGAGATATCCTTATGCATGTCCACATATATAATAAACATATATATATACTCAAGGTGAACAGAGGCTGATCCATGTTTGATGAAAGAATTTTGTTTTCTTTTACTCTCCAGATTTTTAAAATCAAACACTGTGTAGTTACTAATACAACAGAATTTTACACACCACAAAAAGCCTTCCATTTGCAGAGTGCTTTGTAAATGTTATAGGGTGCTATACAAATATCCTCAGTACCTCTTCTCCCAAAAGTCCCCTCCCAGACCACACCACAACTTTCCCTGTGCGGCTGCTGTTTGCCGGGGAGATACGTGCCCTGAAACATGGCGAGACCCAGCCTTATACGAGGTCCTGAGTGGTGCTCTGCTTCCTCCAGGACTGAACACAGCCCCTGGTTAGCCAGGAGATTCCAGGCTCTTTCCTACTATGGCCTTCTGGATTTGGGGATCAGAGCTTTTTTTCTGAGCAAACCTGATCCCTCTGCCCTCACACTTTAACCAGAGGAGATAACTGGCTGGGAACACCCACAGAACACTCTACCAGCAAAAGACTCAAGTTTCCTTGAAAATCTCAACCCACAGGCAGAGAGCACATTTATTCAGTATTGTAGCTGGCTGGTACAATTTTGTTAACTCTGGAATTTCAGTCTAAGTTCAACCCTCAGTGAACTCCAGCTACCATGGTTTCTTATCTCATTTCATGGACCGAAGCGGCTTGTATAAGATAAAATCCATCATACAACTTAACATTACGTTCAGCCCATGGAGAGGCCCATAATTTAGCATTATGTTTGTGAGAGGCCCACTGCGACCGTTAGCGGCAGAATAAATTTCACCTCCCTCCACGCTCTCTACCTCTTTCCCTGACAATATATGTTAGGAGAATGGACCTCGGAACAGATAGCAGAAATAAACCTAATGCTTATAAGAAATCTCTTCCCCCCTCCTTTAAAAAATAACAACAACAAAAAAGAGAACACTGACTTCGTGTACTATTTTTCCTCTTTGCTGTGACTTTCGTCTCTACATAACACAGAGAAAGAAAAATCCTTAACGTCTTTGTCATGGTACGTACAAGGAGAGAGAGTAATGCTGTTCTTCTTTCCTTCCCTCCTACGCGGGCAGTTTTTCCTTTACTTGCTCATAGTCACTCAGTTCACACACAGACTAACTTACTATCAGGAAGAATATACTTGAATTTTTAAAATGTATGTTTGCTCAAATGGCCTGAAAACCACATTTTATTGCTCTTTATTCCTAAACCCAGAGCATAAAGTCACTAGCAGATTATCTAGTTTTCAGAAAATGCAAACAACATTCTTAGGAGTAAGCCACTGAAAATAGACTACTTAAAAAGTAAGTAGCCAAGAGATTTTCTTAGGTGTTAACAGGTACTGGTAGGCAGAATTCCATTAGCTTAAAAGAATATAGTTTTGAAAACTCCCAATTTCATCTTCATTTCTGAACTTTCTGAAACTGGCAGGCCGAGGTATGATTGATGTACTGACATTCAAATTAAATTTAAAAAACATTAGTTAAGGCATGCTTGGTAACTCTAGTCAATATTTGTTGCCATGTAAGAAGTGACTTTAATTTATATTAATTAAGACTAAGCCAGTAACTCCCTCTGGATGGCTTCAGGAGCATATCGGGAGCGGTCATTTTCAGTACCCAACTGTAAATTCAATTTTGTATTCAGTGGAAAGATCACTGAGAAAGCAGAAAACAATATAAACTAATTTAAACAGGATTTAGATTGCAGCATTATTAAAGCTATTCATGTGGAAAGAAATTAACACTGCTCATAAAAATCACATCAAAGACGCACTTATAAGAATTCTAAACACTTTCTGCGAACATGCTTAGGCATAACTCTGACTGTGGGTGCAGTTGGGAAGCTAGAATGTGCAGATGTGCTTTTTCCACAGTAAGAATTGGGAAAATTGATATATTATGGCGTGAATATGAACCACTTGCTCATTAAAAATTGCTCAATGTTTTCTAATCAGGGTCCTTACAACATCACACTCGGGTCACTGCAAACGTTCTTTCTCTGGTCCTGCTCTCTGATTTGCATTATTTCTTTGCCATATCCCTCTTTGTTGGACACCATGGCCTTGCCTCGTTGCATGCACACATGCTGTGGACTCACCCAAGGGGCCCTCCCATTTCCTGCTGCCCTGGCCAGCCATTATTTTTCCCTGAAGATTCAGCTAAGGTGCCCTTCCGTAAAGGAAACTTTTCTCCAACCTTAGGATGAATTAGGTGTCTCTTTACTGTGTTTCCACAATTCCCTACGCACCTTGCTATTAAAGCATTCATCACTCTGCCCAGTACTTGCTGGTTTATGGATGTGTCTCCAGTTCTGGGGGGCATTAATATGAGAATAAAACTTCGAAAACACAGTTCAATCTTCTGGTCATTGAGTTTTTCCCTTTGCAGTTTATAGTTCATTACATTCTACAGAAAACTATGGAGTACCTCCCACCCCCGGCTTTGCCACAGTTTCAGTTACTCCAGGTTTCAGTCAACCACCATCACTTGCAGTGTGAAAATATTAAAAATTCCAGAAGTAATTCATAGGGCTTAAGTTGCACACAATTCTGAATAATATGAGAAAATCTCTTGCTGCTTCACTCCACTCCATGGGAAATGAATCATTCCTTTGTCCAAATATCCATGTTGCCTATACCTCTTTCCTGTGAGTCTCTTTGTAGCCATCCTGGTTATGGGCTCACCTTTACTGGCATAGCAGTGCTTGTGTTCGAGTCACCCTAAAGCACAAAATCAGTCATACTGACAATCTGGATATGCCTTAAAGTACTTTCTTTATGTAAAAAGGTGAAAGTTCCATATTTAATAAAGAGAAAAATGCATTTTAAGGATGCTAAAATTTAGACTATGAATGTATCTTTTACCTGTGAAACTGTGAGGAAGGAAAAAGAAGTTCATGCATAGTATATATAGGTTTCCTTACTAGACATGGGGGGGGGTCCACTGGGGGGACTTGGAACGTATACCCTGAAGATAAGAAGGAACTAGTGTGTTTCTGATAGATTTGTAGTGATTAGTAATGGAAAGCTATCAATTTTATGGCTAAAAGTTGGAAAGCTTCATAGTTGATAATAAACACTTAAATTTCATGTTAAAGAGCATTTTCACCCATGCCACTGTCTACCAGAGATAAATGTTCTCCTAATGATTAATTGGGATTATTCTTTTATATTTTAGGCCTCTGAGACCCTTATCACTCGTAATGAAAATGAAAGAGTCATCAGGTAATCCCACAGAAGCAGACCCTTCTGCAGTAAGGCACCAGCCAGTTTACCAAATGACTCAAACATCTTCTTAAATGTATTTTTAATTCTGGGAAGACGATAACCATTGTTCAGCTTTGTGAATAATAAAGCTGAATAATACTATACAATTATCTCTTATCATTAAGTGCCACCACCTGAATCCATGCCCATCTCTTCTATTTCTGGTTATTTCAGACTTTGTCAACCTCTCTCTGTTTTGGCCACATTTATTAGCACCTGGTACTTAGTAGGCATTAACAAGTTGCACACAGGCAAAACTTTGCATTCAAAGATCACATGCATGAGCATCATTTATGATCTTCTTAAAAATGCAGATCCCCCTTTCCCACACTCCTGACTAGGAATATGCATCTTACTCCAGGTAATTTGTTATAATATATAGGCACGTTCAAGTTTGAGAAACACTGGAAGAAAGGACTCAATGAAAGCCATGGAAACTGGTTAGGAACTGATCGAACTTAAGAGAGAAAGGAAACCTCAAATAGAAAGTAGCAGCTGAAATGACAGAGAATATCAAAA